TTTCACTCTCCCGTTCTCTGCACCTTAATATCCTGCCAATCACTCCAATCCCAGTTTTATGAAGTGAACCCCACTTCTCTGCATCTCACTGTGGCTTTGACAGGGTCGACCTCTTTCTTCCCAAAACCCTCACCAACTTGGCTCCTGAGACCCCACTGCCTGGTCTACTTCTTTCTCTTTGGCTTGATTTTCAGTCTTCTCTGAAGATTCCTCTTTCTCTCCTCATGTCAAAATGGTGGTCACATCTTCTCAGGACTCTGTCACAGAGTCTCTGCTTGGCTGTTCTACCCATAGCTCTTAACCTGGCTACATGTCAGAATCACCTGTGGAGGCCACAGGAGCATGGACACCTGTCATTTTCTCTGCCTTGAACCTGTTCCCCTTTCTCATCATAACTATAACCCAGTTTCCTTTGAGAGACTCTCCTGCTCTCATTCCATATGGCTCTGATGGGGTCGATCCCATACCTGGCTCTAGGGTATGCAAACTAATATAACTAATGTAAGCTAATTAGCAGCTCCATCTCCTCTGGCCGGAGATAGGTGTGTGGCCCATTCTGGCTCATGTAAATCGGGCCGGAATGATTGAGAAAGGAAAGCTATTTCTTTCTGAAGGGCTTTTCAAAAGAACATCGACTGTTGCTGGGGGCATCTTGCCAGTGTTCTTGAAGATCCTGCCTGAGAATGAGGCCAACAAAGGAGGCAAGCCAGAGACTGGGTCCCGAGGACATTATTTAAACTCTTGGATCAAACTATGCCTGAAGCTCATCCATGCCTGCACTTTTCAATTACAAGAGTCATTTTAGCTCAAGCCAGTCTGAGCTGGGTTTCTTCTCTTGTAACTGTAACTCAGAGTTCTTCTCTTGTAACTGTAACTCAGAATTACAGTTAGGGCCTCACCCGATCTTGCTGAAGTCAGAATCTCTTTGTGATAGGAGTAGGGGCACAGGGAAGCCCAGGTTTCCATCCTGGAAATTTATAGACGCTTCCAGAGGGACTGGGATGTCCATCCAAGGTGGAAAGTTACTGCATTGTGCCCTCCCCGGGGAGGAACTTGTCCTCCTGAGCTCCAGTTTTTGTCTTTCTGATGAGGACTCTCCCACACAAACCCACAGCCTGCATCCCCATCCCCAGAACTTCTCACTCACGTCTCCAGCTGCTTCCTGGCAGCTCCGTTTGGAGCTCCCCACCCCCCACCTCACCCCGTTCAGTCTCCCCTCACTCTGCCTCCCTTTCTTTCCCTTGGCGTGTGGTGTCGGCGTCATCCTGTGCCTCAGACTGCATGATTGCCTTCTCCTTGCCCTTACCTCCTCATCCGGTTGGGACCAAGTTTTGTGAACTCCACCTCCTTGGTTTCTTTCAGATCTGTTCCTCCTTTCGGGTTCCTCTGTTCCCGCTGCCTGCCCCATGCCTAGCCTTCAAACAGGCCCTACTCTCTCACGTAGAAGCCACAACTGGGAAACCTAACCCGAGGAGACCCAACCCCAGGACCTACGAGAATGTCCCCCAGGCATTGGGACAGAATGTCCTCCCTGTTCCTTATTTCTCTCCCAGGCTTTATGATCACTGGCATGGTAGGCTTGCCTCTCAGTTCTGCTTCGGATTCCTGCGTATAGTGAGCAACAAGATAAAAGGGGCCTGGGATTCTGGTGGCTTTGTGGAGTTGAGCTGCCAGGCAAGCCTAGACTTTCATGTGAATGAGAAGTAAACTATCTCATTTGAGCCACTTATTCTGGTCTGTCTTGTGCAGCTTAAACCACGCCCCACGACCTGTGTCTGTCCCCTCCCCTAAGCTGTGAATTTCTAGAGAACAGAGGATGACTGTGTTCATCTCGGTATCCTCGGTACTCGGCACAGTATAGATGCCCAAGAAATGGTGGTTTGAATGAATGAGTGAGTGAATGAATGGATGGATGGGTGAATTCTAGTTCTGGCTCTTTCTCAATTATATTACTTAACCTGTGGATCTACTTCTGCTCATGTAAGACTTAGAAATTGATGGGCAAGGAAGGGAAAGGAGAACTGGAATGTATGAAGGTCTTCCTAGCTCAAAAATTCATCCACTCAGCAAATCTTTACAGAACGCTTTCTAGTGCCAGGCCTTGAGCTTGTGCCGGTGGAGGCTAGTGGTAGAGACCTACAGGGATGAGTGCTACAATGCAGGATATAGATGGTGCTTGGGGAGCACAGAGGAGGAGCCCCTATAGGCTTGGGGGTTGAGACTTGAAGGATAAGCGGAGTTAGTCAGAGAAAGGGGTGCAAAGAGGGCATGTCAAGCAGAGGGACCTGTTTGTGTAAATGCCTGGAGGTGAGAAAAAGCATGGTGCTTTGGAGAAATTGTGAGTGCTTCGCTGTGGCTGAAATATGGAATGCGAAGGGAGAGAGATGAGGCTTATACTGAGGAGGTGGACAGGAGCTGGGCAGAATAAGGTGTTTGGATTTTGTCCTGAGGGTAAAAGGAGTAGGGGCACAGGCTGTGAGGGGCTAAGCTCCTATGCTGGGTGTTGGGAGCTACTGACCTGAAGCAGATGGAGATCCCAGAGACCATGAACTGAGGCCAGGCTTGGAGGAGAGATAAGATGACCAAGGCAGGCATTCTTTTGGGCTCAAGCCCTCATCTTGCCTTATTACGGGCTCTGAAATTAAATTGGTTTGCCCCAGATAGAGGACCGTAGTATGCAGTTTCTCTGGGGAGAATTCTCTGGGTGTTGGGGACCAGACCGAGGCTCTTGCTTGGAGTTGCGAATCAGACATTTGGAAATGCCTTTCCACTTGTCCCCACTTCCTTCCTGCTCAGCAATGCCAATCAGTTCAGTTCGTTGGCCACTATTCTGCAGAGCAGGGGATGGAGGTCGAAGGGCAGGGGCTGCAGATGTGCGGGGGAGGGCCAGCCTGCCCAGGAGGCTTTGGGAGCCTTGTTAACTGGGGCCAAAACAAACTCTCTCATTAAGAAGAGAGCAAAGCCAAGTGTGGAGGCTGCGCTGATGAAAATGCTGGGGAGCATCTTTAGCAGACCGAAAGGCTTGAGGAATTTGGGTGCTTACGGTTTCAGGCCATGAGCGATTATATGCACATGTGTGGAGGTTTGATAGCAGCTGCCATCTATCTAGGGTCTCACTACATATACTTGCCTTTATCTGCTCTTGTGTTTTGGTACATATGAGATCATGCACATTTCTGCATACACATACAAACAGGCATATGCATGGGAATGCAAATGCTGTGGGTGACCAGGGCTGCCCCATAGTACATGTGGACTGGCTCCTAGCCACTCCTTGTGTGTGTGTGTGTGTGTGTGTGTGTGTGTGTAGGTGTGGGTGTGTACCCATCCATGTGCCCAGAAAGGAGTGTATGCTAGCCTCTGTGTGTATAATCTGCTTTGGTCTAGATGTGTATAGAAGAGTATGTACATGAACGATCAAGACCCCAAAAATGTCTAGGAGTAATAGTGGCCATGACCAAAGACAGTATTTCAGTCATCTATACCTGTGTAACAAAATTCCCAAAACTCAGTGGCTTAAATAGAATGATTTATTTTTTCTCACAATTCTGCGAGTTGACAGGGTTAAAAACTTCTACTCCACGTAGTGTGGATGAAGTCACTCATGTGGCTGCACTGTAAGAACTTGGCTGAGGCTGGGACATTCAAGATGGCCTCTCACCCTTCAGAGCCACTCTAGGTGGCCTCTCATCCTCCCATAGCCTACCCTGAGCTTCTTCACAGCATGGTGGCTGGCTTTCAAAGGGAAAGTTCCAAGAGGACATGTCCCACTGGGCAACTGCTTATGATACCTCTGCTTCTGTGACATTTGCTAATGTAGCAATGGCCAAAACAAATCACATGGCCAAGCCCGAATTCAAGCCCAGGGAACTAACCAAGAACCTGATTCTAGGATGTGTACTCCATTGGAAGCCACAGATGTAACTGTTTACCCCAGACTGGGAAGAATGGCTGGTAGGGTGGGCTAGTGAACCTGTCTATGGAATCACTTAACCCTGAAAAGGTGGATTTGGGGAATGTTGTGGTTAGGAAAGTCTATGCCCAGCTCTCAACCCTAGTGCTCTGACCCTACCCAGCCAAGCTCTCTCCTGATGACTTCTTGCAGGAGCAGCTGGAAGCCCCAAATAGCCCACAGCCCTCTGGTCTTGGTTCAAGAATAATTCAGCAGAAGTCTCAATCTTTGCCTCATTCCAAGGTCAGTCATAGACAGCTCTGGGATCCAGTTTCTGCTTTCTTAGGGACCATTCTGAGTGGTTTCAGGAGCGGTTCTACTATTTACCAGTTGTGTGATCTTGGACAAATTATGTAGCCTCTCTGAACCTGTTTTTAAAATCCTACATATGAGGAAAACAATCCCTATTTCCTAGGGCCATTGTGAGGACTGGGTGCTATGATGCATGCTAAGTGCCCCATAAATACTCAATGTGAGACCACCGTAGCCATTCAAGAACTGCAGAGACTAGAGATGTACAACAAAGACCAAATGAAAGTTCATGCCTCCTCTCAAGCCCTGTGTTCCCGCAGCTGAGAGCAGGGACAGTGCAGGTCATCAATCCTTCATTCAGACCACACCTATTATTGAGCAAAACCCAGAGTCAGGGGCTCACAGAGCTTGCAGTCCCATGGGCCCTCTGTAGGGACCTACAGGCATAGGAAAGAGACCAGCAATGCCAGGCAGCATGAACCGAGTGCCAAACAAATAGGCAGATGAATAGTGACTCAGGACTTGGAGAAGGGGAGGTGGGTGGAGACTTGGAGTTGAGGTGAAATACAGGAAGCCTTTCTGGAGGAGGTGAGTCCTGAACAGGGCCTGGAGCATGGCAAGATCCAGACAGAGGAGAGAACTGGGAGGATAGAGCAGACGATACAAACTTTTGTGGTCCATACTTGCCCAGGATGCATCATGTGACAGCCTAATCCCCAGCATCCCCAACTATCTGTCTCTTCTCAGGCGGCACGGTCTAGTCATGCTTGGCGTACATACTAACACTCCCATTCCCACACCACTGACAGACATCACTAATCAATTACAGAACTCCTCTCCCAACACTTTCTCTCTCTCTCTCTCCCCTCCCCTCCGCCCCCCTAAGACTTCTCAAAGCAGGAGACTATTATCAATCTATTGGGGTTAGCACTTGGGGGTGAAACCATTTTGCTGACTCAGATTGAGATGAAATAAAGCACTGTATTTGAAACTGAAACTCCGAGTTCTGGCTCCTACATCTATAAACTGTGTGTCTTTCAGTAGTGTCTTAATCTCTCTGGATCTCAGCCTCCTGCCTGGGGCAGGAGAATATTAATTCCTACTCAGGGGAATACCAAAAGACTCAAATGAGATCATGTGCGCAAGGTTCTAATAAAGTACAAAATCCAGAAGAGATGATGGTGATGGTCCTGCTGCAGCCAGATGTCAGAAAGCTTGAGCACATGCATCCATTAGGGCCTCATTTGCAGCTTGTTGGAGGAAGAACAATCAGTTCAGCAGTGAGAGTGAGACGCAGACCCTCCGAGCTGTCAGCCCATGGAAACAGGGCTCGGAATCTGGGCCTCGGTGCAGAAATGGTGGAAGGGTGCCCCAAGAATGTGCTCGGAGAAGCAGCCCAGGACTTGAGCTCTCCCTGACAGGCAGGAAGAGCTGTTGGAAAGGCAGAGAACTGCGGGTTAAGACAGATGTTTTGAGTTGATGACAGATGGGTAATGAAGAGCACAATTACTTTACCAAAGCAGATCCCTGTTTACCAGCATCCGAGAACTACAAGTTATGGTGTGGTATTTCTGTGTGCTCTCCTGTTCCAGCCCTCCACCAGCCCCCACCACTGTGGAACTCTTTGTCTTGACCATGAACTCAGACTTTGAGCCTCTTCTTAGGATCGGCTCTCCTGGTTTGAAGTAGGAAGAATCCCTACCCCTTGCCCAGAAGAACCTTTATAAATCTCCCCAGGCTCCACTGGTATATACACCTGCAGAAACTGAGCACAGAGAAGTCAGAATGTGGCCCAAGGTTACACA